AAAATCGAATATAACGAAGTGGTGGGAGACAATGATAACTGAAGCCTTATTTTTGTCGAATCAACTGAGAATGCATGTAACAGGAACGATTCAACACTTGTCTTAGACATTTGGGAGATTTTACTCCTCTTATAACTAGTGGGAAAGCAGAACGAGAACTATAAAAACTGAGTTTCGAAATTGTGGAGATAGCGAAAGCACAATATGTTGTGTTCGCGACATCGTCATCCAGTAAATAGTGACAGTAATACTGTTTCAGTGTGTGTGTGTGTGATATAAATAAATCAAACAATGTAGAAGGTTTACTTCATGTTTGACACCTATGATTAGTGAAACGTCGTATCATTTTATCTCGAATCTATTCAATAAGTCATCAGTTAGTCACTGTAAGGTTATGTGTAATCTACTGTCTGTAATAGTCATCATAGCCTTTTCTAATTTCCTTGAGTTTCAAGTGGAACTTAGGGCTCAAGGTCTTTAAATTTTCAGTAGTAGTGTCGTTCTCACGAGTTGGAATTGATAGCCTCACACCTAATCTCCCCTCTTTTTCGTGCTTATTACCGGCCAGTTAACTAGAGGTGTTTCAACCGGGGGGGGGTATCGAACGCTGGACCACGTGAGTAGTTGGCCAGCAGTCTACCGCTGAACCTCCTACGCGCATTGCATTTTAACTAAAACTGAATTATATGATCATTGCTAAATAGTGTACACACGTGCTATGAATGTGTGACGGCCTGCTTAAATCATTTGGCGGCTTAATGCGTGAGGTTTACTCAATTCCACTTCATTTCAACCGTCTGATTATAGCTCCTGAAAAACTTGTACTCACGTGCTTCCAATACAGCTGCAGGTATGTTTTTTTTAAACGACGACACCGTCAGTGGGTGGGTTGGAGAATGTTCTGTCGTGTGATATGATATTCTGTAGATTACTATTCTGTGTATAAGGAGTAGATAAAAAAACACGCGGAGCAATTCTCTACTGTACATAAATGTATTGTGACTGACTACTTTCAACGCAGAACTTTGTACAGATGTACAGCAGTCCGATTTGCCACTCTTCCTCTATTTACCACAGAAGTAAAGAGAAGAGAGATTCAAAAGAGACACTGATAATAAACAGAAATGTGAGGCAAAAAGACAAATAGTAATATGGAAGAACAATCGAATTTTACTGAATATTATAGATAAATTATAAATCACAAGGAGTGAATGCAACTGCGCCGGCCACTGACAATGATTTCTGGCCATATCACCGGTTTTCTGCAGACATTGGCTTTTATTATCCCGAGGACCGCAACCTATCAGGAAGTCTACATTTCCCTGTCATCTGTAGTGGCGTCCGTCAGGGATGCCCACTATCCCCATTTCTATTGAATTCCATCATAGATGTACTAATGGACTTAACCCTAACTCACTTCAGCGACTCAGGGATTGACTTGCTACCAGGGAATAGTCTGGTTGACTTAGAATATGCAGATGATGTAGTCCTTCTAGGTGAAGACGCTGACAAAATTCAGTCTTCTGAACACCTTGAGCTGCAATCTATGAATGCTTGGCATGCGATTAGCTTCCGCCAAATGTAAGATGATGGAGCTACAGGACTGGACTATGCTGACTCCTAGCTTAGAAGTGGAAGACATGAAAAGACTAGCTGTCTTTGATCACATGTGCCTGCGTTCTATCTCACGTGTGAAGTGGTATAATAAGGTGAGCAATATTGAGGTTAGGCTTCAGTCGAGTGCTAGGTAGGTGGGAGGGGAAATCAATCGACGAGGCTGTGAAGTTATATCGACTGAGATGGTTAGGACATGTGTTACGATCGCCTTCCTCGATGGGTAATGTTAGCTGACTGCATAGGGTGGATCAAGTTGGAAAAGAGCTAGTCAGTGGTGGTCAAACCAAAACACGGCTTCATCAGTCAGTGAAATCCACAATAGTTAGTTTAAGTCATGTAGGAAGGTGTAAACTTCTTGGTTACGGTGAACAGGACGGTAAAAACCAATGGCTGGAGACAATCGGTGATATGACTTAAAATGGTTGTCAATGGCTGGCGCGAGTGCATCCGCTCCTTGTGACTTATAATTTTCAATGAAACTATACTGCTCTTCGTTAATACTATAGCTTTGTCTCATATCCCCATCTACTGTCTCTAGTATGCGTTTCTCCTACTTTTTTTTCTGGCTTTGTGTGCTACATGGAGTGTGGCGACTTGAACTGCTGCACATCGGTGCAAAGTTCCCTACGTGGTCACCTGGCTTAAACTAACTGTTGTGGATTTCATTGACTGATGAAGCCATGCTAAGTAATACTTAGCTAATTCGATTGAACATAAATTCCAACTAAAGTTTCACTGATTTAACTAGATTGGTTGGATGATATAATACAAAGAGTTAAAAGATTTTAGTAAAGATCAAAAGTGAAAAAGTCAGAAGTGTAAGGTGACGTATTATGTAGTTGTCGTTATGCTACAAAATTCCCCTACTTATCATTGCGCCATGTAATCCAATTTGTCAATCTCTATTTGCTTTTCGATAGATTACCACGTTTTTGACCGCGAAATGATTTTCGAATGTCCTGTACACTTCATAAAACTAATATGTAGGGCCAGTTTCTTATGTTTGCTGAATATTTACACGACTGAGATTAACAATAATGAAGTTTAATTTTTCTAACCTCGAACTTCTAATTCCAAGATGACTCACATATACAAAAATCTATACGTTGCAACAATGGGCCAATTAGTGAGCGGCTAACACTGGGCTGAAATCGAATTAGTTGTTATCTGATTACTGCGTAGGTGTCCATCAATGTGGTAAAGTCTGATTGGTTGGCTATCTGATTAACGTATGGGAAGACAGTATGAGTATAGTTTAAACTTAGATCGACAGACTATTGATCTAGTCTCACGTATAAGACAATGTCACCTTCCTAGTCCTTAGTAGTGACGGCGCTGACTGAGTTCTGGAAGCCAGGTTTGCGAAGTGTTCACCAGGGTATATGACCGACTATCGCGGTGAACTACGAATCTAATAACTTAATATTAAAAGAGGCATGTGTTTCAAAGTTTTAAAGCATCCCTGTGATGACACACAGTAATACAATATTATCACCCATTGATGACGTAACCGTAATCAAAGCCTGACCTGTTTATGTATGATCCATAAATAGTGCTTAAAACGTTACCAGCCAATAATGCTCTATCATAATGTGAGTTTTATAAAGGTGTTTAAGACTGTGAAAGATCTCCCTCCCGAGGTTCTTCTTCTCTTATGTTTTCTCATGCTGGTGGTATTGTCGAAGCTGAGAGATAAGATTAGTTTCTGTTAGCTTCACATTAAGTTTGTATGTTATAGTTTGCAGTCTACTTGATTGTATTACCAGTCAGTCATATCACATACATGCGCACAGCCAATTAAGGTAATTAATCTTGTTAATACGATAGTAATAACCAAGAATATTTATTGTGTATATAATCAGTCATCAAAATAATAATACACAATAGGGTTGCGTTTTACGGTAGAAAAACAACCTCGAAAACAACATAGCCACAAATTAAACAGACAGAGAGTCGATCAGAGCTGAGATTACAAAATTAAGGTCAAATGAATGAGATAAACAAAGTTTTGAATGATTATTTTAGGCAGCGAGATTTTTAAAAATTAACAAAAAATGATTTAATTCACTTCATTCTTGGCTAAATAAGGGATAAGGATTGTATCCCTCAGATTAGGAGGGAATTGGAGAATTCGCGTTCCTTGTTATTTGTAGTTCATTAGACTTACAAGTGATTTTCAGCAAATAGGTTGCAGGTTTATATCCCGATTCAGAGTGCGCAGTCGTTACACAAAAATACATAGCTCTTAGTTCACTGCGTGAGATACCAGTTTGGCGTAATTGACGGGTGATCACTGTTCTCATTTTACTAACATATCAACATTATTCATTTAGACAGCTCAATTTAACAGCTACTTGCACCGTTCCGTGCATTTGCTAATGAATTACGCGCATTGTATCCGGTCTATTGAAATTAGTCGGGCTTCTAAACCTTTAGTAGGTGGTTCGAAATGGAACGTCTAAATGAACATGCGACAGCTCCACTTACATTATTTGAAAGCAAGACATGGTGTTCACTAGTCAGGAGATATACAGCATCAAGAATATAGGACAAAATCTGAATTTTCAACACTAATATCAAGTCATTGCTTATACATAAATTAACGTAATTGGCACATTTTCAACAAAGTGCTGTAAACTTTCATCTAAACTGGTGTCAGTGAACCATTTAAGAACTTATCTATTGCCCAACAAATCTGTAGAATAAAATGGAAGTTTGAAATCATGGACCATTGGATCGGGTCCCAGTGTTTTAATGGTCTATGAGCTGGCCTTGTAACCAAAAGGTCCTGGGTTCGAACCCCGGCGGTAAATGCGTACTGATGAAGAGTTCCATACCAAGGCGAAACAGGTGTAAAATACGCCCAGGTTTTCCAATAATCCTCTAACCGATGTCAGCTGATCATGAATTCCTGAAATCAATCAATCAAATCCCTGCAAACCAATTGAAAATAGAGATAAATTGGAAATACATCGAGGAAACACCTTCAAGTGCATTACACATCAGGGCCTTGATTGAAATCCCAATGTGAATAGAAAGTGACAGATCGGATAACATGGAGATCATGTAAAGAACAGGGAATGCATACAACATTTGAACAGTTGTGGAACCAGGTAAAATGACCACTGTAAACAGAGTACGATAGAGATATGCTGCTATTGAAACCCTTCCTACTTTCAACTCCGAAAAGCAATGGAAAAAAATGACAAGACAAGACAATATTTCGTATATTTGACTACTTTTAATCTAAATGATGCAAATTTTTATAAATGTGAACGATAACAAAAGAAAGAGAGTACAAAATCTCCCCCCCCCCCATTTTATTATCACTATTATTGCTAATAGTATTTAAAATAGTAGTAATAATAATAATAATAATTTAGGTAGCAATATAATTCAGTTATGTATACAAAGCATATTAGTGAATCAACAAATCATTTACAGAAATTAAAAAAAATCATATTTATGTACACAATAATAATATATTATCTGAAGAATAAAACAGAGTAAACCACAAAACATGTGGATAAAGCCTATAATCAGCTGATAGATAGGTCGTCCTTAAACCTACCAATCAGAGAACACCTAATTCAGTAGGCGAGATGGCTGCACTCTGATTGGTTAATATCAGATTTTACAGTTGACATATGCACCAATCAGCTGATTTTATGTATGTATGGTCATTATTGCCTAAATTGTCCAACTACACACATACATACATGCATACATATGAGAGAAAATACCTTCAAAGCAAGTTAATAAATTTAAAATAAATAAAGTTAGTGACGAAATTAAATAAGTATCACAATTATTTTTTAAAACAGCTGTAGCATTGAACAATGAATGTTATGCATATGTATAGGCATTATCATCACATAAGATAAACGGGAAACCGTTTGACTCCATTTAATATCCCAAAACATGTATACTGTGATGGAATTACGGGTCGATTGATAGACGAATAAGCGATAGCCAGTACTGCTTTATCACACTGACGAGGCAAACATGAGTTTATTTGGCACGAGATGTTTGAAGAAAGACAGTGACTGTGTGTGATGCATTGCACAAATTCATCATCATCATCTAATATGCATATATAACACAGATAGTCAGAATATTTATTTATTTTTCAGATATTTGGACTAAGAAATTCATAGCATTCATGACATATACGTACTGGTTTATCACTTGCCAACCCTTCAATCGGTTGCCAATGATTACAACATTTTGAACAAAAGATATGCCCGCATCGACGACAATGATGACGACGCCAAATCAAGGTGAAGCCACGATTACACGATGCACATTGACGTCCAACTATATAATCAGATTGATAATCCTCAGCATCATCTGTATCATCACCAATGATATCATCATCTGTGAAGTGTGTAGAATTATTGTCTTCATCAGTTTCAAGCTTTGATCGATTGACAACAGCTCGATATGATGATGAGGATGGGGGAGAATCAGGTTGCCAAGTGGGTAAATAATTGAATAGGAGAGAATCATTTAGATTTTGTATACCTTCAATAGGTGATCCTAAATTTAATAGCTGAAGCCTTTGTGTAAAAGTGCCTATATAATGTTGAGAACAGTGAGAAGAAATGGTAGAATTAGTCAAAATTAACAATAATTAGTATTAAATTCGATTTTAATGTTGCTTGAACGTTCGGGGGTTTAGGCTACTTTCTTCGATATGCCTAGCGGGCATTACTGAATGATTGACGCGTCAGTGATCTATCCAACCGCTCATATTAATCAGCCAATCAGTGGAGTATTTGCTACTATCCCATCTATCAGTCATATTTTCGGTCGCTGGGATGGGATTTTTTTCTTTTGATTATAGCTTGATTCCACACCGTCTTTTTGGTACAAGTATGGAATTTTCAGCATATGAATTTTGCAGGCCGACCATTGATATCAGGTGTGCGTCTGCAGCGGATCGAACCCTCCTATGCTAAACTGGGAGATATTTTTACAAGTCAGAGAAAGGTATCCTATGCAACATTTCTATGCAGTTTTTTCATAAATATATGTTTTCCATAAACAAAATGCCTACTTCATGTGATTGGTGCGTTCAAGGTCATTCACTGATTGGGAATTAGTGGTGCTTAAAGTTTAACTTTTCCTGTAAGATTTCTTTTAACACTATACCAGGGGGCTGTAGGCAAAGCCGTACTGCTGCTGGGGAACAGGGATGTAACAGCAGTAAGGTGTTTCCCTCAGGTGACCAAAATGCCAGCTATGCTGTCCCTCCACTCTGGAAAGAGGGGGTTAGAGAAGGTCGACTCCAAAAATTGTACATCACGACTTACCCTACGATGGTCCGTAGGCGGCAGTAAGTTACTAATACAGAAACAATCTAAGAAGCAAGTTCATACAGCCCGTGTGTGACCGGTCTCAAGCAGTTATCCCCTGGGCTCTGCAGTCACACAACACTAATTCTCTTTCTCTTTTAGGTAAGCAAAGAAAAAAATCAACTTCCACGGTGTGGACAGCCGGGAAGTAACAACCACCCACACACACTTCTAAAAGCACCCGAAGACCCCCTGAATATTCTGTATGTGTGTGTTTTGAACTTTATTAACAACTATTCCTCACAAAATATACGATCAGTTTTTCACGAAACCAAATCAATTCTAAATACAATTTCAACCGGAAGTGAAATGTATTGCACGTGAAAAATCACGAGTAAGCGAGATTAGTGTCTGGATGGTTAAAGGTTATTATGTTTGACGTAACAAATAACACTAAAGTTGTTATCCAAACAAACAAAAAAACAACTTATGCCAATCGATTTCAAATGTTTTAGAATAATAGAGATTTGTTACAGTGTAAGTATTCACAAAAACACATACACACACAGTAATACTGTATCTGACAAAATTAAAACGGAATACAGATTACTGGCCGATACGAATAGTTGAGGAATAAACCAGGGCAATTCAAGTATTCAAAGCTTTCTGTCAACTGGAATTCCCTCTAAATTAAATCACAGTGCATGATATATATATATATATATATATATGAAAGGATGCACGAAGCTCTATTCTAGAAGACTTGATCGATTCCTGTCACTCTACCAATCCTGGCCATCATTTGAATCCGGCTATCGACCAAACGGCAGGTGTACTGCTCAGAAGTTCGCTCCGTCCTCACTTATGGCTGTCAATGAGAAATGGCCATTGAAAGCGAAAGACATGAAAAGTCTGGCCAGCTAGCTGTCTTTGATCATGGGTGTCTGCGTTCTATCTCCCGTATACGTTAGGTGGTATAGTAAGGCGAGCAATATTGAGGTTAGGCTTCAGTCGAGTACTACGTAAGGAGGGAAAATCAATCGACGAGGCTGTGAAGTTATACCGATTGAGAGAGATGGTTAGGACATGTGTTACGAATGCGTCTCTAGCCACCAATCGCTTTCCCTGACGGACAGGGAATGTTAGGTGACTGACAAAGGGTGAATCAGGTTGGAAAAGAGCTAACTAGTGATGGTCAAACCAAAACATGGCTTCACCAGTCAATGAAATCCACAACAGCTAGTTTAAGCCACGTAGGAAGGTGTGGACTTCCTGGTTGGGGTCCTCGAGATGGTGAAAACCAATGGTTGGAGAAAATTAGTGATATGGCTCAAAATCGTTCTCAATGGCTGGCGCGAATTAGATTATACGATAAAACTATATGGTTCTTCCATGTTACTATTCTTTTTGCCTCATATCTCTCTTTACTGCCTCTGTTTTGTATTTCTTTTTACTTTCTTTTCTTGCTTTATGTGCGAAGTGAAGTGTGACACATTGGTGCAAAGTTCTACGTTGAAATTAGTCAGTCAGTCAGGCCATGATTTTAAGTTCATCTATCGAATCTGTGCTAACTTGAAGCGTTCTCTTCGTTATAAACTTCTAAAGACAGCGGAGGCCTGGAGCATTTATGAATTTCTACCAAACCTTTGTGTTTGTACAATCCAAACTTCTGCCTTGGCTGAAGAGGGATAGACACTTATTTATTTTGTTTATTCAGTTTATATATATATATATATATATATATATATATATATAAACGAAGGCGATGTGATCAACGTAAGTGTTCCAAACTACGTGAAGGTAAGCGGAGGTTTGTTCTATTTTCATCGACAAAGTGGATATGCAACACAGTAAGTTAATGCAGAGTGTGACTAAACATAGAAAATCGATTTAAACATGTCTGAAATCAAATCATCATCATAATATAATATAGCATGATTTCAAGAAATGAGTGATTATAGTTCAAAGGGGAAAATGATTTTCCTCTTCTTATATCATATCATATTTTCCAGCAACTGCTAAAAACGTCTCTAGGTGAAACGGGATTCAAACTCACAATACAGTAGTTAAAAAACTTAAATATCTAATCATTCTAATTAACCCATAATATTATATAAAATCAAGAACTTCGTCGAATCTACGGGTGGCAAAGATAAGAATGTCAAAGCCAGGCAGCCATAGGTCTGGATATCTACATCGATTATTATTATATATAAGGGACAAGATTCGAATTTTCAACACTAATCTCAGGTTAGTGTTTCTAATTATGGTCCATAGACTTCGTCTGTGTGTGTGTGTGTGTGAATCACCAAAAGCGTTTCCAACAGGCTGTTGCAGACTTTCATCAACAGCTACGTTTGGTCCATACTGAATACTAGTCAGTCAGTCAGTCGGGTGGACAGCTAAAAGCATAGGAAACAAGGAATTTTAACAACAACCTATTAAGCAATAAATATTCAGAAGGAAGTGGGAAAGCAACGGGTTGGGCGTCTGACGGTGACACGAAGGAGATCATGGGAGGAGGAAACGAAATGTTACAAACAATTGTTAAGCTGACTAAAAATGCCAGCAGTACAAAAATGGCCAATAATAGAAATATGTTGCTTTCGCTGACGACTGTCTGGCTGACTGGTTTCAGCATAGAACTTTGCACTAATGTGCAGCAGTTCGAGTCACCACACTTCACGCAGCACACAAAGCCAAAGAAGAAAGTAGAATGAAATGAAAAATAGAGACAGTAAACAGAGATATGAGGCAAAGGAACAGTAATATAGTTCCATTGTAAATTATAAGTCACAAAAAGTGAATGCATCTGCACCAGCCACTAACAACGATTTTGAGTCATATCACCGATTGTCTCCAACCATTGGTGATTACTGTCCCGAGGACCCCAACCAGCCAGTCAGGAAGTCTTCACCTTCCTACTTGGCTTAAACTAATTGTCGTGGATTTCATTGACTGATGAAGCCATGTTTTGGTTTGACCACCACGTCTAACTTTCTCTTTTCCAACCTGTTCCATCTTATGTCAGCTAACATGGTTCATCGGTCGAGGAAGGCGATGGCTAGGCATGTATTCGTAACACATGTCCTAACCATCTCAATCGATGTAACTCCACAGCCTCGTCGATAGATTTCCCCTCCTTACCTAGCACTCGACTGAAGTCTAATCTCAATAATGCTGTTTGTCTGTCTGTCTAGATTCAACATAGAACTTGGCATCGAAGTGCAGCAGTTCGAGTTGCCACGGTTCAAATAGCACACAAAGGTAGACAAGAAAATGAATAAAGAGAATCAATAGAGTTTTGACAAGTATAAGAGTGAAACAGAATGAGTAATGGTAGAAAGGAATATGAAGGTTAAAGAGACTGAATACATCTGCGTAAGCCATTGACAACGATTTTGAGCCATGTCACCTACTGTCTCCAGCCATTGATTCTTAGAGTCCCGAGGGCCCCAACCCGGAAGTCTGCATCTCCCTGCCTACCTGACTCAGTTTAACTGTCAAGGATTTCATGGATTGATGAGGCCATGTTTTTGTTTGGCCACCGCTTACTCTTTTCCAACCTGACCTATATCAGCTAGTAATGCCTGTCGGGGGAGGCGATGGTTAGGCATGCGCGGCACGTGGCCTAACCATCTCAATCTATGTAACTTTATAGCCTCTTCGATCGATTTTCCCTCTTTGCCCAACACTCTACGCCTAACGTCAACATTACTTACCTTATTATGCCACCTAACGTGAGAAAGAGATCGTAAACATCTATGATCAAAAACAGTCAACCTTTTCATGTCTTCAACTCGTATTGCCCATGTTTCAGAGCCATAGAGAAGGATGGAGCGAACTGCTGAGCAGTACACACGTCCCTTGGTTGATAGCCGGATGTCACGCCTACGCCAGAGATGGTGTAAGTTAGCGAAAGCAGCCCGAGCTTTCTGGATCCGTGCTGAGATATCGTCACCAATCAATCCGTTGGTGCTGATAGAACTTCCCAAATAGGTGAAGTGGTTAACATGTTCTATCACTTCACTTCCTATCACTAAGCTAGGAGTTGACGTAGTCTAGTCCTGTAGCAGCATCTTACGTTTTACAGGGGCGAATCGCATGCCAAACATACGAAGATTGCTGCTCAAGGTGTTCTGAAGACTCTGCATTTTGTCTCAATATTGCTCACCTTATTATACCACCTAACGTATACGGAAGATAGAACGCAGACACCTATGATGAAAGACAGCTAGCTCGCCTTTTCATATCTTCCACTCTTAATGGTCATGTGTCACTCACAGCCATAAGTGAGGACGGAGCGGACTTCTGTGCAGTACACACGCCCTTTGGTTGACAACCAGCCGGATATCACGTTTACGCCAGAGATGTGAAACGAGTCTTCTGTATCCGTGCTGAGATTTCGTCAGCGATCAACCCGTTGGGCCTGATGCTTTCGCTGAAGACCAGATAACTAGGCAGAGAGGTTGAGGAATTCTAACCAGCCGGAGAAACCAGTTAGTCTCCAAGCTATTGAACAACAGATATACGGAAGCAAATGGAGATGGAGTGATCGTGCTCTGGGGTCGTCGGGTGGAACTTCAATAAGGAGAAAGTCATATGAGGTGGAAATGAAAGCTTGTGAATACAATACAATAGAGATTTATGTTCCAATCAATAAACAAATAACGAATGTTGGAAAAAAACTTACTCGATTGATTATGAGTATTGTCATTAATATTATTATTCTTTACAGGAGAAGTTGACTTCAACTTAGAATTATCACTCAGCTCAGTTAATCTTTCAAAATCAATATCATCATGACTTAAACACGCTGCTACATCTAAACCAATTTCATCAGCAACAAGAATAACACTATCTTCTATACTGGATGAAATACTATTTTTACGTAATGCTGAAATGCTGCTGTCATCATTACGAGGAGTGGTGGCAGCAGCAGCAGCAGCAGCACCGCCAGTAGTACATTTTTGTAGCCAACAATCAGATGATTTCATTGAACAGTGACTAGAGGATTCCATAGAATTTATACATTTATCAGTAGTACTGCTGTTAGTGTATTTTCGAAAATGTAAACTATACTCTTTAAATAATTGATTCAAGTTTGATTGTTGTCCTTCTTGTTGGTGTTGCTGTTTGTATTTGTGGTGGTGATGATGGGGGTGTTGGTGGTCATGTTGTTGACATGATGTAGTCTTGTTGAATTGCATAACTTTATTCCAATTGAATAGATTAGCTAACTCTTGTATTTTTCTTTCATTCATAGTTATCATGTGGAATGGATTGAATTCTATTTCTTCTTCAAGTTCAGTTTCACCATCATCATGCTCATCACCACCACCACCATCTTCTCCTTTCTTGGTGTTGTTGTCGTCATCTTCATCTTCCACTTGTCCTCGTTCTTCTTCTTCTTTTTCACCATTTGGATTTTCACTGGTGGAACCAGATGATTCTGCATCGATCTCATTACTCGTGTCATGCATTTCTATAACTTTCTGAAAGCAAATATAGACAAAAATAATAAACAAAATATTTAGATTATGGATTAAGCAGCTGGCTGGTTGGCTGGCTAGCTATATGACAGTGCCACATGTTATTATATATTTTTTTTATTTATTTAAACGCAGAAAAAACTTGGTACAATATGGCACCAAGAAAGATGCGCCACACAATAATAATAAAACAACATAGATTAAAAGTAAGAATATAAGTAGAAAACGGATAAACAACTTCATCTGGAAAGAAAACAGTCATGTTTAACAAGTTCAAACAGTATTCGTTAACTATCATCAGGAAGGGAAGAAAGAAGGAAATTGCAACACGTTCGCCATTGATTACGATTCTTGGCCATATCCGATAACGTTTCGAGCTATCTCTCGGACCCCAACCAGGGAGTCGTGACGCACCAACCGATGCTAATCTAGCACAAATATCCTTCATCCCACGACACCACGTCATGCACTGACCACCCCTCCGCCTTTTCCATCCCGTCCCAGGGCTAGCGAACAGAGACCTGTACAGAAGCCTCTGAGATGACATTCGCAGCACATGTCCAAGCCACCGGAGCCGGTGTTTCCAGATGACGACACTTAATGAATGGTGATCTCCACTGTGTTCAAACACACGCCGCCGAACCTCAGAATTACTCACGCGATGATGCCATCGAACGTAAGCGATCCTGTGGAGACAGCGATGATCGAACACGCAGAGTCGCCTCACATCCTCAGCTCGGAGAGGCCAGGTTTCACAGGCGTAGACCAAGACAGCCCGCATCGAAGCATTGTATACCCGACCTTTGATAGCCAGACTAACGTCGCGACGGCGCCAGAGGTGGCTCAAGTTGATGTATGCCACCCTAGCCTTCATTATACGGTTGGAAATCTCATCCGTCACCCCTCCGCCAGCACTCACTCAACTACCCAGATACACAAACTTATGTTAGGTGTTCTACAACGGGTATACCTAGTGAGTGAGGCGTTCAAAGTGAATACGGAAGTAAGAGAGACAAGGCTGGCTGTCTGTTATCACCAACGATGATATTCTTAATTGTGGTCGACTGGATTATGCGGAAGGCTGTGAACAGGGAGTGAGAAGACAGGAATACGCTGGAATGACCGATAAGAAGACACTAGACGATCTGGATTTCACGTCTGGGTGGATGATTTATGTTTAATGCCATACACAGAAAATTGAAGAGTTGCAGGTGAAAAGCAACAAACTGGCAGAAGAGGCAGGTAACGAAGACAGGACTGCAGGTGAAAATAGAGAAGACGGTGATGAAGGTAACTAAACACCAACAGCAACAACAACAACAAACAGCACTAATCACCATCAACGGGAGAGATTTGGATAGAGGTCACTTCATTCCTTCACTTATCTGTTTAGGAAGCACGGTTTTAACCACAGATAGTCGGAACGGATGAAGATGTCAAAACCAGACAGAGTCGGAAAGGCAAGATAAGCCTTCATCAACGTGAAACCAGTTTCGAAATATTCTGCACTCCGCCTCAGCATAAACAACAAGATTCAGACTTTCAACGCAATTGCCAGCTCAGTCAGTTCTTCTATACAGGTCAGAAACTTGCAATGAGTGTCGCTGGCTCCACACTGTAGATCAAATGGTCAACCGGATAGCCAGAATTAGCCACAAGAAACTCTGCATTGTAACGAACCAACCAAGAGCTAAAAGCTCAACAAACATGTAGGATAAAACGGAGATGGATGGATCAGGTATACGTTGAGAAGGCCGTTGAAAGACATCGCGCGTTAGCCAGGCCACTGCTCGGGTGGAATCCCAATGGGAAGCGACAAGTAGGTCGTCAGTGCGAGAGTGACATAGAGGGAGATAAGAGATTATGGGCAGTCGTGAACCCAGTTGGAGAGGATAGCAGAAAACAGAACAAAGTGGAAATGTGGTGTAGAAGCCCTATGTTCCACTCGGAACCCAAGGGTATAATACGCATAAAATAATGGGTTTTTCTAGCCATTTGGATTAATTTCAATGTAGGCTTGGTCGCAAACCAACACATCACTGAAAACCCACAGGGACTACTGAATACCTGTTTCGTTTTAACTTTGTGACTCGTCATCAGTGTACACCTGTGACCCTAGCAAACCTCAAACCCAAAACCTTCAGATTACAAGGCCAGGCGGCTTGTTGGCCATTCAGCAGATGAGTAGGCGTTACGCTGCTAATTTAGTATTGGTGACTTACATGTCGTCTGATTGATAGATTTCAGCTTGTTGGCGCACACACACAAGGGCTAATCGTCAGCTGATTATGATCACTGCCAATCTAAGTTTGCTAAATTTGCACAGAGAAAAAATATCACACGGAAGGGAAAGCAAGGAAATGAAAATAAACTATACAACAAAAACTGCACGTTTTCATTGTTTTTGTTGCCTAGCGAAACTATGTTTTCGTAGTTCAACTGGATTAAGTATTCGCAGAACTTCACACATAAGAAAGGTGAACAAGAAACGCCAGAAACTAGTTGTTAGAGGAAGCATTATAAGTCGTGATTCGGTTAATGATTAAAATTTTGGGAAATTTATTGACCCATCGATTAATTTTCCCTGCAGTCATTAAGGTTTTCAATACTTAGTTAGTTGGAAAACATTATAGAATTGTTATTATTATTATTGTTATTGTTATTATTATTATTAATATACCAACATTAGTATCATGGAGTCACAAATGAAACCCGCGAAGAACTCAGTCACCCATAAACGACCCGGTACGACCGAGGGCGGTGGGACTTCAGTCTTCCCCTCTGAATGCTCTCTCTTGTGTGACCACGCATTCATAACCTCTACGAAGTAAGTCTTGTTCACTGCCTTATTGTGAGGCGAGTGTTTCCCAAAAAAGTGGAGGAGAAAACTTGAACGTCTGGCGCCCAAAAACCGAATTAGTGGACGTACTTGTGTCTACATTAGGGAGCTGAAAATTCCCAATTCCAAACCTATCAGCTTCAGAATATGAAAGGATCGAATAGTGAAGGGATCTGCTTTGATCATCCACAACGATGGGGACGCAGCTTCACTGCTATGTGGATACGACTTCAAGTCAAATGCTCGGGGAGGGAGTGGTCCCTGAAGGCAACCACCTGCTTTAGGTTTGGGCTCAAGGAAAGTGTCCCAGCCCTCTCATAAACTGAGACAATAATTTGTGTGGTGCATCTCCTGGTGAAGCTTGCGTTTTAAGAGTAACAGTAATAACATAATATTTCCTGTACAACCTTTTAACAGACTTCCAAACACAGGTTCAAGACATGCTCCACCTGCCTTACACAACAGATGTGTGTTGATTTATTGCCTACAACATGGAAATTTAAAGGGTCCTTCCAATCATTACAACATACTTTTAACTTAACACATACTGTGTGTATGAGGGCTGATAATGCCAAACAATCGTCTCTCCAGGCTGAAACAGGTACAGTGGGATTCGAACCCACAACCACTATCGCAGTCAGTTAGATAACATTTCCTTGTTGTCAATGTTGCTACTATTTACTTACACAAGACATAATTTTCAATGTACCAGGCTGTGAGCCACATATAATGTATGAGAGACTATAATACTATCCGGTTGGCCTAAGGATGAAGGTAACTGAGGCAGGATTCGAACTCGCGATTGAACACACTTAAGCCAATGAGCAATCACATTTCCGCGATAATACTCCGTAAATACCATTCGCATCAATCAGTAATGCTTGCTATCCAGCCGCCAACCAGCCAGATCGAAATGACGTAAACACTAGACGGCAGTTTCACTTGTTTGGGATTGACCTCATCAACGGTATTATTATTATTATTATTATTTCCTTTAATTCCTAGAGGAACATAGGGCTTCAGCCATGCGTCTCCATTGCGTTCGGTTTTCTGCTGTAGTTTTCACCTGGCTCCAAGTCTGCCCACACGCTTTCAATTCCTCTTCACATGATCTCCTCCAGGTCACCCTTGGACGACCAACTCGTCGCTTCCCTTTCGGGTTCCACTCGATGGCTTGTCTAGTGATGTCACTTGCTGGTTTCCTCAGAGTGTGTCCAATCCATCTCCATTTCTTCCTGCCTATTTGTTTCACGATCGGTTCCTGGTTGGTTCGCTCCCAGAGATCTTTGTTGCTGATCCTCTCCGGCCATTTGATCTTGAGTATTGAGCGAAGGCATTTGTTAATGAAGGTCTGTAGCTTGTTTGAGCTGCTCTTTGTGACACGCCAAGTCTCTGATCCGTATAGTAGTACTGACTTCACATTGGAGTTGAAAATACGGATCTTATTTTTGACGCTGAATGCTGTTGACCTCCACATAGACCTGAGAGAAATGAAAACTTGTCTTGCTTTTCCGATTCTGGCTTTGATATCCTCGTCAGTTCCTCCTGTAGTTGAGACGATGCTTCCCAGGTAGGTGAAAGAAGTTGTTTCCTTCAGGTTCCTCCCATTTATGCTGATTGTTGTCGGTTGTTGCTGTTGATGTTGGCCAGGAATCTTCATTACCTCTGTTTTGTCTATGTTCACTTGAAGTCCTATCTTTGCTGCTTCTTCTGCCAATTTGTTGCTTTTCACTTGCATATCTTCCAGTTTGTGGGAAATCAGACATATATCATCGGCGAAATCCAAATCCTCCAAGGCTTTTGTGTCGGTCCATTTTATGCCTGTTCCCTCGTTGGTTGCCGTTGTCTGCCGCATTATCCAATCTACTGCAATCAGGAAGATCATTGGTGACAGTAGACAGCCTTGTCTCACTCCCGTCCTCACTTCGAAGGATTCCGTGAGCCTCCCGTTGTGGATTACTTGGCATGCAGCGTTGTCATACAGCTGTTGGATGAGATGAATAATTGTCGGCGGCACCCCGTAGTAGCGAAGTAGTTGCCAAATCACCTCTCGATCGACGCTGTCGAAGGCTTTCTCAAAATCGATGAAGTTGAGATAGAGAGGTGACTGCCATTCCAAACTTTGTTCAATGATAATCCGTAGGGTGGCGATTTGGTCAATGCATGACTTGTTCCTCCTGAATCCGGCCTGTTCCGGACGAAGTTTTTCATCTAGGGCTTGTTTAATTCTCTCCAGGATGATGCGACATAGTATCTTGCTTGGAATGGACAGAAGCATAATTCCACGCCAGTTTTTACATTGACTCAAATCTCCTTTCTTTGGCAGTTTGAATAGGTATCCGTTCTTCCAATCCTCGGGTACTTTGCCCTCTTTCCACACCTTCTCTAGTAGTGGCGTCATCAAGTCCGCTGTTGTCTCTGGGTCTATTTTCAAAGCTTCTGCTGGGATTCCATCTGGTCCTGGCGCTTTCCCAGCTTTTAGCATCTTGATGGCATTCAGGACTTCGGATTTCGTCGGAGGGTCGATGTTCATTGGTAGTTCTGCTTCCGTTGTTGGTATTGTTGGACGCGTTGTAGGTGGCGGACGATTTAGAAGTCTTTTGAAGTGTTCAGCCCAGTGCTTCCTCTGTTCCACCTCTTTGGTGATTGACTTTCCATTGTCGTCCTTTATTGGCTTAATCTGTGTCGAACTTTTGCCCGAAAGGTGCCTAGTTGTTTGGTATAGTGTAGCGAGGTCTCCTTTGCCTGCAGCTTGTTCTGCTTCGTTTGCCATGGTTTCACAATATTTTCTTTTGTCTTCCCTGGCACTTTTCTTCACTCTTTTGTTCAGTGCATTGTAGCTTGCATTCAACTCCTGTTTCTGTTGCTCGTCGGTGCACTGGATAATCTTTTGTTTCGCCACCCTTCTCTCTTCTATTAGTTTCCAAGTGTCCGTAGAGAGCCACTGTTTGTCCTGTCTCTTTTTTCTGCCTAGGACTTCCATGCAGGTTTGACTCCACACCGTTTTCAATTTGTTCCAATGCTTTTCGACGCTGACCTTTTCGTTGGTGTTGATTTGTGTCTCGGCTTTTTCCTTTATGTTTGCAATGAAGATGTCCTTTGTAGCCTGGTCCTTCAGCTTTTGAGTGTTGAACTTGGCTTGTGGTCTATCTGCAGCTCCTGTTTCCCTGAAAGCTTTTAATTTGATTTGGATTGTCCCTTGTACGAGGTAGTGGTCTGAGCCAACGTCTGCTCCTCTTCTTGCTCTTGTGTCCAGTAGGCTGCGTCTCCACTTCCTCGATATTGTGATGAAGTCAATTTGGTTTTTGGTTCGCCCGTCTGGTGACACCCATGTAGCCTTGTGGATATCTCTGTGCTTGTAAACACTGCCACCAATCACTAGTTCGTTGAAGGCGCAGAAGTCGGCGAAGAGTTCTCCGTTTTCATTCATTTCTCCAAGAGCTTCTCTACCCATGATGAGTTCTCTTCCTGTATTGTCTGGTCCCAGTTTGGCGTTCATATCTCCCATTAGTATTTTAATGTCGCCAGCTGGAGTATTGTCTATTGCTGCCTGTAGTTGTCTGTAAAATTCTTCTTTCGCTTCGAGGTCTGCGTTGTTGGTGGGTGCATAACATTGGATTATTGACACTTTTCTTCCTTTGGAGTTGAATCTGGCGGTCATTATCCTGGACGAGATCGCTTCCCATTGCATCAGGGCTTTCGTTGCCGTTGGTGACATCATGATAGCCACGCCCTCGGTGTGCGTGTGGTTATCTTCTGGGTGACCGGAGTAGATCACTGACTCTCCCGTTGATAGTTTGGTGAGTCCACTTCCATTCCATCTGCTTTCACATATTCCCAGCACTTGGATTCTGTATCTTTTCATCTCGCTGGCGATCTGGGCAGCTTTGCCAGTCTCGTACATGGTGCGGACATTCCATGTCCCCACACAGACTTTTTCTTTTGTCGCAAGGAGATTGCTCATGGTGAAGTTTCTGTAGCAGGTTTGTTTACAGGGTGGGGTTGCTGGCCTCACGCCTGACATCAACGGTATATACTCTATTTAACTCAGCTCACAGCATTGAATCATTTGAGACCAATCGGATTCAAAGCATCGGAATTTGGTTATTTGGACTGAGTCAAACAGAGTTCGGATCCGAACCAGCGAAATGGTCGACCATTGTTCTGATCACATCAGTCTGGTTAGCTAACAAGCACTCTTGGTTGATGTGAGTAGTATCCGGCTAGACATATCAGTCAATCGGTTTCATAGCTCAGCGTATTGACTGCTAGTTCCAATCCTGCCCTCTACTTAGATTCTCATTTCATCAAGTTCAACAAGCAACCACTATGCAACTGACTTAATAGCTCTAAAGTTCATATAAGAACCGAATTGATAAACTTTATGTTGACCTACAGGTTTCTGAAACGAATGCCTTGATACTTCCAGGACTAATAAGTCGACGGTACTTATCTAGTATAGAAAAAAAATCCCCATTTAGACATTAAGAAAACAGAAAGATTGAGTGAAGAAATATTTACTTTTCAATTAGATTCTCATCTCTTTCTGGCTCTACTCTAATATATAATGTTTAGCATTTTTTTATTACAATACACAACAGTTTACCAGTCAAGTGGCACTAACATGTTTGTTAACAATAATTAGTCAGTGTCAACATGTCAATGGGGTGATAAGAATTAACGAAGAAAATTAATCCACACAATTAAAAGGTGGAAATGGTTAAAACACGTGGATTGCATAATGTATAATTTTGGAGAAATGAGGAGTAGTAATTAAGCAGTAAGCGTGCGCACAGGTTGAGAGTCAGTATGGCAACAGTTCCGGAAAAAAACAACACTGTTCATAAAACTGCAGTTCCACGGTGACAACATCAGCGAAATAATACCACAGCGCCTGAAGAATGCAGTTAAAAGAGCTTATTATTCAGCAGAGGTACGCTGTCTCTTCACACACACCCCAACCTATTCTACGTTCGAGAAATAAGGATAAACTACTTAAATTTTCCTCCTCTGTGTGTATCTACCAGTTTGACTGCAGCTGCGGAGCCAGTTACATTGGGTGTACAATAAGGCAGGTTCATCATCGTATTTCCGAACATCATCCAGCATTGTTAAGCAAGGGACAAATAAGATCTATTCGTAGCTCTATTTTAGCACACCTTGTAGATAGCCAGCATAAGGTTGACGTTAATACAACATTTAAAACTATTTATCGCATTCCTACTAATCTTAATTTTGCTTTACGAGTTCGTCTTCTACATACCTATAGCTGAAGCAATAGGAATCCACCTGAAGAAGCCAAACCTGTGTGTTCAGAAGAAATTTGTACAGCCACTTTCCTTACCTTGGACATCGTTATATGAATGAATGTATAAACCGGACTACTTCGATCCCCACCCGCTAAACCTTTAAAAATTATAATTCTCCAAATTATTTTATTCTTATGACCACTTCAGTCTTAGTTACAAGTTATCATTGCCAGATCATTTTCTTTTCTTTAACAATCTGATGCGTAATCAACATGCGCACACGCTTATTCCTTAATTGCTATTCCTCATTTTTCTAAAATTATGCATCATGCAATCCACATGTTGTAACCATTTCTAACTTTTAATTGTGAGTATAAATTTTTTTCTTCGTTAATTATCACCCCATTGACATGTTGACACTGACTAATTATTGTTAACAAACATATCTGCGCCACTTGATTGGTAAATTGTCATGTATATTAGAGTAGACCCAGAAAGAGATGAGGATCTAATTGAAAAGTAAATATTTCTTCACTCAATTTTTCTGTTTTCTACTTGTCTAGTAGTAGTCGACACGCGTTTCGTCCCGTGTGGAACTCGTCAGCTGCATGTACATACCATCCTGATAAGTAGCTATTTTCCCACAGATACTGAAACTCCCTATAACCATCGCTTCAAATGTCAAACTGCTATCCACTATACTACTGAGTAGACGGTTCCCAAGTTACTACGAAACATGCCACCACCTGGATTAGACTGCTGTCCGTCACCAAACAAACAGACAAACCAACAAATAATAACAGTAGTAATGATAATAAATGATTACTTACGACATACCTGTAGGATGAATCGTAATTCTGTTGGATATTCCCTGGCGAATTGATCAGCCACAGAGGAAATACACTTATACAGACGATGTAATCCAGGCAGATAAGTTTTCCATACATGCGTTTTTTGATAGAATGTACCGAGAAAATTCCTCGGCAATGAACCACCACCACCACTTGTTGGTGACAAAGTGGATAAAGTTGGCTGAGAAGCATGTGTATTAGTGACATTTACTACTGTGACTTTTGCATTATTATTATTAGTAGGTAGCTCTGAAGATGATGTTGTGTTTAAATTCTCCTCCTGCTCAATATGTGATGACAGTTTGGTGGATATTTTTTGATTATATATTAAATTTGGTAATCCATTTGGTCCAAGCCATCTAGCTAGTCGACATAACTGATCTGGTCGTAGGGCATACAACTGTCTGCAGAGATAGGCTAATTCGGCACGTGATGAACTGAACATAAATGGTAAACGTTGGCTAAGAAGAGAGAAAAAACAAAGAACAAAATGAAGAAACGGTGGTCTAATATATGATATGATAATACGGTTGTTTTACACAATAGACGATATATCAAGAGCCCACATGATATCAATTATGGAATCATTAGAAACTAAGTAGTCCTAGACATACTGGAACTCAAGTTTCGTTAGTCGGTGGCACAATGGTTAGGACTCTCGTCGGCCATGCACATGGTCCGGGGTTCAGTCCCCTGCCGACACACACCCGATATCTATGGTAGGCCTGCAAAAATTTGGGCTACCGATATCCATGCTGAAAATTCCATACTTGTACTGAAAATACGGTGTGGCATCAAGCTGTAATCAAAATAAAGTAAAAACAATAGTCATTAGTGAGTACCGATGAGATGGACTTTCTAGAGTTCTGATTGAAACTCATGACCGGTTGAGGTCCAGCACACTGGATCTGTGAATAGATATTCTCCAGTAACACTGGTTGGCTAACCTGCTGCGGTGCTATTATATCACGAATTGGTAGAAGTTACAACTCAGTGGATTCCGTCCCAGTGTTTAAGTGATAAGGTGATCGCCTCAAAAACTGAAGGTTAAAGATTCGCCAGCCTACCCCCTCGCACAGACACTGGCAGGATCACGTGTGGCTATTATTTATTATTTATTCAAACACGAACCTGATACATTATGGATACCAAGAGATGCACTACATGAGAATTCATAGTGTGTGAGAAGTCTTGGATACTGCCCAAATAGAAGCAGGTGGTGGTCTCAAGGGCACCCGGCAAAGTTAAACTTTAAGCATTACTAACTACCAATCAGTGAACGACCTTCAACGGACCAATCACATGAAAGAGTGATTTTTGATTAAGGAAAACGTATATTTATGAAAAAAAGCATAAAAACTGCATAAAACTGATACATAGGTTATCGTTCTCTAACATGTGACAGAAACATCTCCCAGTTTAGCATAGGAGTGTCAATGGAAAAGTCACACCACATTCTGTACATATATTCATCTAAATGACTATGAATGAGGTCCTTTTGAGATCCATTTATAGCCCTAATCCTATTTTTCAATCTTCCTCAGAATCCTTCTATTGAATTTGTGTGTCCTCTTGTAATTGAATCCACAAAATCACTGGAATGGTTCACTCTGTGATGAATATTTCCAAGAGATAACAGCGAGTTATAACCTTCCCATTCATCAGTATGTACTACGGATCCCTGTTTCACAAGTCGAGTAATAATAGGTATTAAAGTAGTTGACTTTCTGTCTGGTATTCTATGCACGAATCCTTCCTCAGGAAGGTGTCATATAAACCAATCACCCAAAAATTGTTGGCTGGCTCACGACCATGGTTGTAATTTTTCTTCAGTAACGTAGTTTCGTCCACGTGCACGACGATGCCTTTTTGCCTAACAACGAAGTAATTCTCTTCATTTTCCATGATGCGATGTCTCTGCAGTGCTGATACCACTGAACTGTTGACACGAGGATATTTTAGGTTTCATCAGCTGCGCCTCTCACAGTCTGTTTTAAAACCCACTAGTTGCAAATATACAAAATCTGGGTTAGGGAGAGATGCGACCTAGTAAAAAATGTTCCTAGGAAATAATAAAATTATCAGCTTACCTTCTCTAATACAAACTCGTCTCAAACAAATTGCACAACGATGGACATAACAATCAATCGATCTGCTAAAGCTTTTTAAACTCATGACACCACCACATGAACAAATCCTCTCCTTCCTAAGCAATCCCAAATCCAGGCAGTACTGCAAATCCTTATCCTCCTGGAACTGCAAGCGTAAGCTCGTTAGAGCACGCATTTGATGCGAATCAAGCGCTATGCAACCTTGAACTCACGTGCATAAACCTCATTGGACCATTCGACGTCGTTCGCTGATTGGTAGTTAGTGGTGCTCAAAGTTTAACTTGGCGGGGCCACCATCCTCTAGCCTCCGATTCGGAGTCTAATCCACAAGGCAGTGGAATAGCGTTAGGAGCTAAGTCCACATGATTGCCAGTGACCGAAACAGGGTTATACACTATTCCATATTTGCTGATGATAGAGCTCATGTAAAATATATGTTTTGAATCAGAGTTCTCCATCTCCTTTGGGTAGGTCTGCATGTCTACCAACCCGGTGGTAAGCACCAGACGTTCGTATTCACCTATTCCCTACTGCATGGAGGAAATGAATAAGATTTACCTGTCAGAGGCTATGAACATATAGCAACATTAGAGCATTTCGAGAGGGAGACCGAAAGAAGCCTACTCACCGTAGGCCATAATGGGTCGTTTATTTATACCTACTGCTAAAGAGTCCAAGGCTAGCACGAAACAGCTGTCCAGTGCTCCTTGGTATTCATTGCTTCTCCAAATAGGCTAGTAAACTAGGCGAGGCGTAGAAGTACGTCAGCTGAGAATTGAACTCCAACCTCATGTGTGGATAACCAACATTTCTACCGTCGACCCAACAAAACAAAAGCATATTACTTAAGTGTGTTCTGCTCAGCAGTTCGCTCTGACCTCCTTTATGGCTGTGAAATATGGCAGTTGGAAGTGGAAGATATGAAAAGACTAGCAGTTTTTGACTACAGATATTCGCCTTGCACCTCTTGTGTTAAGTAGTACGATATGGTGAGTAATATTAAGTGCTAAATAAGGGGTGGGGTGAGTCAATCGATAAGGTTGTGAAACCACATCGATTGAGATGGCTAGGCCACGTGTGTTGCGCATACTTAATCATCTTCATCCTCGTCTAGCAATGCTAGCTAACATAGAATCGGCCTACGTAGAAAGGTGTAGACTACCACCACCAGGTCAGTGGCCTTGAGACTCTCAGAATCAATAACTGGAGACTGTTAATGATTAGTAAGATGACTCAAAATCGTCCTCTGATTTATCTACCTTTGTGTATCAGCTTGGATTTGTATATTTTCATTCAAAGATCCATCTTGAAACTCAGCTAGTTAGTCTATCAGTGATGTGAGTTCTTTTAATGGCTACAAAAATTTACACTTACCCCACAGCTAAACGATTTGCACCGACAGGTGAATCAGGTAACAGACGACAACCGACTAAGATACTCAATCGAGGCAGAGCTAACAGAACGCATGGATCACGATCAGCTAATTGTTGTACTGTTAATAATTTTACAGTTAGTCCCCACATTAATGTTTCAGAAAAGAGTACAGCTACCATCTAAAAAAAGTAAACAAACCAATAAACAAAATTAAGATCAATATCATTAAAGGTAAAGTATCCTTTTTAAAAATTATAATGGTTAGGCGGGCGTTTAAAATAATACTTGACTATATTTCATTATCACTCACTGACTTGATAACATGGTTGTCAATCAACTTCCAAGCAGTCGGCAATGGGTCACATCTATTGTATGACGGTTAATGATGCTACCTGGTTGTCCAAACCTTTATAGGTAGAGTGAGAATCATAAACCAGAATTCCGTATGTTTAAAGGCCGAATGAGTGACCAATACCAATAAGCCACAAACACACACACACTTTTCAAGTGGCAAATAGACCTTAATGACAATTTTCTACCTAGAAAGGCACACAGTATACACATAAATGCATCACACTATATACTACTGACTGATCGAAATCAGTAGTTATCTACCATTCGCACCAACCAGTCTGACTGACTGGTTTCAACAGAGGACTTTGTACCAATGTGCAGCAGTTCGAGTCGCCACACTCTATGTAGCACACAAAGCAAGATAAGAAAGTAAAAAGAAATGCAAAATAGTGACAGTAAACATAGATATGACGCAAAAAGAATAGTAATATCGAAGAACAATATAGTTTCATTGGAAATCATAAGTCACAAGGAGTGGATGCATCTGCGCTATTGAGAGGGATTTTGAGCCAACAATATCACCAGTTGTCTGCAGCCTTCATTGGTTTTTACTATCCCGAGGACTCCAACAAGTCAGGAAGTCCACACCTTTCTACATGGCTTAAACTAACTGTCATGGATTTCATTGACTGATGGAGCCATGTTTCGGTTTGATCACCACTGGCTAGCTCTTTTCCAACATGACCCCATGTCAACTGACACTGGGCGTCGAGGAAGGCAATCGGTGGCTAGGCACGCATTCTTAACATACATCCTAACCATCTAAATCGGTGTAACTTCACAGCCTCGTCTATTGATTTCCCCTCCTTACCTAGCACTTGACCGATGCCTAAGCTCAATATTGCTCACCTCATTATACCACTTCACACGGGAGATAGAACGCAGGTACCTATGATTAAAGATAGGTAGCTGGTCTTTTCATGTCTTCCACTCTCAATGGCCATGTCTGACTGACAGCCATAAAGGAGGACGGATCGGACTGTTGGGCAGTACACACGCCCTTTGGTCGATATCACGGATGTCACGGCTGCTTACTGATTAGCCAGCCAGCCAAATCGAAGTGATTTAACCACCCGGCTACCGTTTCGCCCCTTTGCGGTCGAGCTCATCAGCGGTGTGATCGGTTTGACTCGGTTCAGAGAGCTGAATCAATTGAAACTATCTGAATTCTGGTGACCTAGCGACTTGGGCAAACTAGCATTACATTAAATTGAATCCCGTAGTTTCCAATTCATACAGTTCAAGGTGCACGACTACTACTACTGCTGGCTGATGTGTGGTGTCAAACTACTACTCATATGAATCAATCAATCAGTAGTATATGACGTCATGATTTTTTTTGCTTACTTTCTAGATTTATCATCATTTATTGTATCAAGCAGATCACATGCATTGTGGTCTGATAAATTCCGGTTTCCAAAGGAAACTCTGGTGCAATGTCACCTCGAACTGTTTGTAGCCTGCAAATTCGATTTGAAGTAGACAGCACTTTTTTCATACAGAAAGAAATGAAATCTTGCCGAGGATAAAGTGAATGCGTTTAAGGGTTAATGATTTAATAGTAGCAGAATACAGCACCTTCTGGTCACAAGGCCAGCGAGCTCGTAAACCATTAAGCTACTGGGGCCCGATCCAATGACCAGCCCATGAATCCTAACTTCTGTGAGCCAATTCATGACATAGCGGGACCATTTCGCAACGCCTTCTTCGATGAGTTACTGCCTCGACTTCAACCTGCTGTACCCTACTGATCACGGCTTTCCACGAGAACTCCAGGTCATTGCTTGAATATGGCCAGTCGCTAGTGAGCATCAGTACTCCCAGTTGGTTTTCCAGCGGTTCTCTAACTAATGTCAGCTCATGATGAAATCCTCCATCCAATCAAACAAAATCCCTACACAAACCAATACTTGAAGACACTGGTGTTCTATTCTTCTTGTTGCACATATGATGTACCTCTCTATTCTGCTACTTTCACTCGAATAAAGACAATTATGTTAAAAAACTACATCCACTTAACCACTTTAGCATCAATGTATAAGTATTATCATAAAAGAATGTGATAGACACTTAGTGTGACGTAGGACGCACACAAAATCGCACACACACACACACACAAATATGCTAATTAATTAATATAAAGAATAAACAAAATATTCATGTGCAGAACTAGCACGTAATACTAATGCATAGATAGTGTTGTCTAACAAGTATTGATTTATGATATGATAAGTATCTCGTGACATGTTATACACATAAGTTTTCTGTTACACATCAGAAATCTAAGCTACGCAAGTAATAGGTAGGTAGTGAGATAATCCTTCAATTTCCCCATTAGTGAAGAAGAATAATGATTTAACGAATTCATATATTTTTTTCTAATTATTCCTTTACGTTTCCAGTGGAACATAAGGCTTTAGGCTGGAGGCCTGAAGTTTCTGTAGCAGTGGTGTTTTTTTTTTAACGGGATGGGGTTGCTATCCGGCCTCATGTCCAAACTTCCCTCTTTACCAGTCTAATTACTGGCTTAGTCAGCGAGGTAAAGGAGTGCGTCCGTGGCCGAGGATCGAACACCGGACCACATGAAGCGTGGTTGGCGAGCATTCTACCGTTGTGCCACCGATGCACCGACCTCATATTGACAGTAAGGCTACACATAAAGCAACTTATTAAGTCGTCTGAACAGATATCGATATGATTAGGAGCAGCGACAATAGCGTTGTGCTCTGAAACGTCATCCAGTTAATAATACTGCAACATTCTGTGAGTGTGTGTGTGCTATATCAGAGAAGTTTATCTAACATGGAATTATATTCTAGCATAATGACAAAATTCTACTTTTACAACATTATTATTCATACGAATTCTGATCAGGATCCCGGAACCTAACAGTTCCACATTCATTGGGTATCGAGTGAAAAGTATTAGAAACAAAATGGTGTGAGATTATTGGATGCAATCGCCAGGAAATCCTAACTGCCACAAGTTTGTGTGTGTTTTTGAACTCGTCACAGCAAGGTGTATCTGATACTTCAAAGGGACTGATTCAGACCTGTGGTACGCAGTCAGAGACGTTATTGCTGAGCTAACTGGGCTCACGATCGACCTCCTGTAGGACTGTCATGTGTGTATCCATTGGAGAGTAACCAATATCATGTGTTTTTATTTCTCAATGTTAGTGCTGACTGGATTTGTCAGTTAAGTTTGCAATGTCGTCACGTAGCTGAATGTACTTGCTCTCCAGCTGATGAGTCCCAAATAGAATGAAATACGCATCTTGGATTTCACTGCTAGTCTCTATAGTGACAAAAACAAGATATGGTCTGCAAACGATGATGCTGTGTATATAGTAATTATAGGTGGAGATGAGGTCCATTGATTCAAAAACTTGACCTATGACTAATTGGTCCTGAGTTCAAACCTCACTCCATCTACTTCCTCCTGGGTAGTATCATCAGCCTTCACACACATAACCAGGTACATGGTTGGCTGAAGTGATTGATGAAGTTGCGTCTGTATTACTACCCTCAAGGTAAGCCAAGATGTACAATTTCCTGAGTCAATCTTTTATAAACACTTCCTGACTCCAGAGCAGAGGCAGTACAGCTGGCCTGCTGGTCACCTGACGGAAACACCTTACTGCTGTTACATTCCTGTCGGTAAGCATTACAATTTAGCCTACAGACCTCCAACATGATGCAACCGACTAACACTATGATGGTAACTGCTCTGAGTCTAACCTCTATTGAAAAGACCTTACTGGTATGGTAGGAGGAGGACCTACAGGAGAATAGCTCCAGGCACTGTTGACTGTTGGGTGACTATGATATGCAGGTGCGACCAACACGTCAAGAAGGCAATGCCTGTGTCCCTTTTGCAGGATGAGGTTGCCATTCTGACGCCCAATCTTTCCTCTTTTACGGGACTTACTCCCGGCTAGGTAAGTTATAAGAATGCCTCGGTCGGGAATCGACCCCCAGACCGCGTGCATGACAGAACATTATTCTACTGCCGATCCACCGACAAACACCTGGTACAAAAAAATTTACTGTAAACGAAACAAACGTCAATCAATCAATCAATCACATACTTGTACATCATCAGCTTCTTGTAGAGTACGCACTCGACGTGAAACACACTTGACAAAATCAAATTCAAATCGAGCTGAACAATGATCAAGTTCTAATAGAATATGAAATAACTCCGGTGAAATAGTTAACAATTCTGATGATGGAAGTTTAACTGGTGTTGTATAAATTACTGAGGCAATATTCACTTGTACAGATGTATGAATTATTTTGCTATTGTTGTTTACCGTCGATACCTTTGAATTAGACTGTTTCAATGAAATGGAATGATGTGAATCGTTTGATGAAGCAGTAGACGCGATTTGTGATAAACGCAATGACTTCATTCTACGCCCATTGGAAGCAGGAATAGAATCATTGTCAACTGAATCTAAAAGTAAAAACACAGATTCAGTAAAAATATTTTTTAAAAATCTACTTTTGTTATATCACTGATAAAATAGTCAGTGAGTAGAACTCAGTTACGGGATATGAGCTAAGCATTCATACTGACGTAGTTGCCCATAGGGTGAAATAGGTGGAGTGAGACTCGAAGCTGGGGAAATCGCCGGGTTTACAAGTTGAAAGTGAGAGATATGAAAAGGTTAGCTGTCTTTGACCATAGAAGTTTCCACTGCATCTCCTACGTTAAACAGTATAGTGTAACAGCAGAAGACAAGGGCCAGGCAACAGATCGTTTATTAAGGAAACCAAAGCATATTTATATATTTTCATGTACATTATTATAGTTTATTTAAGCAAACAAACAGTCTACTGATTGGTTGTTTCTCACTTAAAGTTAATCTTTCATCTCTTTGTGACTGTTTCTTGAATGTCAGATAATCTATATGTTAACTGTATCCACCTACGCAAAGTCTGCTGTGGTCGGTTTTGAAACAGTCTTTGTTCATATTTTCTCACGACAAATCTTGAGAACGTAAACATTGACGTAAATTACTGTCTACCAATTTGGCTAGTAGACAGCTCTCACCACAATAGTATGGTGAAGGATATTGAGGCTACTCTTAACGTGTTAAGTAAGGAGGGAAAGAAAGGGACAAGATACGCACGCCTTCATCAACCTAAAACCAGTTTGGAAATCTTCTACACTCAACATAGGGAACAAGATTCGGATTTTCAACACCAGTGTCGAGTCAAGTCAGTTGAAAATTCGGATCTTATTTTTCATGCTGAGTGCTGTCGACCTCCACACAGACTTGAGAGTAGTGAAAGCTTGCCTTGATATCCTCGTCAGTTCTGTCCGTATGTAGTTGAAACGATGCTTCCTAGGTAGGTAAAAGAGGGTTGCTTCTTTCAGATTTCTCCCATTTATGCTGGCTGATTGTTGTCTGCATTAGAGTAATAAACAATGTTATGAATAACTCATGATAACTCTTTCATGGATTGATTACCTGAGTCATCACCACCACCACCACCACCCTGGATATTATTTCTTTGATTGACGGTTGAATTATCTTCAGTATCATTAGAAGTTAAACTAGCTAAACATGCTTCCATTATACTGATAACCATAGCTTGGACACGACTATGTGTATCTAAAAATTCTGTAGCACTTGCTTGAGCCGGTCTAAGATCACATTCTATATTAGATTGGCTAGAGAAAAAAATGTAGAAAAAAAGGTATTTTGTAATTTGGTGTTAACCTTGTTTAGGATTTTAAAAATATAAAAAATAGGGTATTATGATGTTATTCATTGTCAGTCAGTTGTAGAATGCTCATCAGCAAGGAGAGTGGTTCAAGTTCGATTCCAGGCTAGTGTGCTCCTTTTAAACCACATCAAGCTCGATAAAGAGGGAAGGTAGAGCTAGGTGAGTTTAGCGACTCCATCCGGTAAAAAATCCATTGCCACTGAAACTTCGAAGCTCAGGTTTCAAGCCAAGTGTTCCACTCTGAACTCAAAGGAATGAATTGAGTTCAATGGAGACTCATAGGCAAAAATACTTAGAAACTGCCTGTCTCGTTCATTGAAGAAAACCCTCTTTGTAGTTAACCTCCGACTTACTTGTTCTACAAAACCAATGACTCACATTATTGTGAAGGATAAGCTATCACTGCTGACAGCCTCAGCAATGTGTATCTATCAGTTTAGCTGCTCCTGTGGAGCTAGGTATGTACTTAGCGCTTTGCTATCTAGACGTATCACTAAAAATTTACTTGGTTTTATAAAGGAGGAGAAAGATACCCCCACAACTCTATTCTGGAACACCTATTCAAATCTAAACACAAACCTAACCCACAAACCAGCTTCAAAGTCATCTACGAAATACGCAGGAATCTTGCAAAACAGCTACGAATCAAACTACTTCAAACCGTATAAGCAGTGGCGATCCACATGTTAAATCCCCGAATGCTGCATACAGAAAAAAGGAGGTTTGTTGTTTAGTCATTAAATCTGCAATAGACATGATCTGTCTTAACACTGGATATGTAGTTTTTGTTTCTTAATTGTATTATTTTCTTCCCTCGCCCCTCTATTACATTTCTAACTCCTTATTATCACCGTTATTTAACTTGACTCTCGTTTAATTTTAGTTGAGCTCTGTTCAACCCTCTCAGTTATGTTAAATCATTCTACTTAATTATTCAATTTTATTATACAGTTTCTGCCCGATTAACGGACTTTCACAAGCCGATTAAAGCTTTGTGTATCGTGGAATTATCTAAATTTACAATTCAAATCAGACATCTATGAAAATATTCCTTTTGTTGTTAAGAAAATTGACTACATATACGTGACTGTACAGCTTGAGAATGATATTGCTGGAAAGAGTAACTTCTTTTTGCTGAACAACTATTCTTTCATGTGACTCAATGAGGGATTTTTTTAAGTTGCTCAGACAGAAATAGTAAGTCGGTTCGATTTTTGATATCTATTTTTAATTTCAGAAAGGTGGTGTGTGCTGCTGATGCGTCTATTGGTGACAACTCACAAGACGGGTGTACTGAAAGCCTTTAAACTTCTGATCATAGCAACAGTCCGTTTAAATAACCATAAGAATTTTTAAAAAAATCACAAAAAAGTAAATGATTAATTTACCCGAAATTAAAATTTACTACTTTATTGGCAGCTGATACTAAACAATTTTCAATATTCCGTAAGTCCACATCTTCAACATATTTAGTTCGAAATAAACGTTTATGCCGAGTATTTGTAGGTAAGGCAGCACTGAGCAGACGGGAAGTCATCGAGCCTAATTCACGTCTGACAGACTCGATTGCTTGCATTACCACCTGTACAGAAAAACAGCGAAATTGTAAGGAATATATATATATATATATATATATGATGACAGTTTGTTTTCAGAGATCTGAACACTAGGTCTTGTTGTTAATCCATTACGTTAAAATGTGCAACAAACGGCTGACACATAAAAACATGATATAAGATAAATACATATAAATAAATATCATCTGAAGTGGTGACAACTAGTGGCGTCCGTCAAGGATGCCCATTATCCCCGTTTCTATTCAACTTCATAATAGATGTACTAATGGACTTAACCCTAACACACTTCAGTGACTCAGGGATTGACTTGCTACCAGGGAATAATCTCGTCGACTTAGAATATGCGGACGATTTGGTCCTTCTAGGCGGGGACGCTGACAGAATGCAGTCTTCTGAACACCTTGAGCAACCATCTTCGTATGTTCGGCATGCGATTCGCCCCTGTAAAATGTAAGATGATGCTGCAGGATTGGACTGCACCGACCCCTAGATTAGAAATAGGAAGTGAAGTGGTAGAGCACGTTGAGCGCTTCACTTACTTGGGAAGTGCCATCAGCCCCAAACGGGTTGATCTCCGACGAAATCTCAGCACGAATACAGAGGGCTAGTTTCGCATTTGGCAGTTTACGCCGTCTCTGGTGTAGACGTGATATCCGGCTGGCTATCGACCAAAGGGCGTGTGTACTGCTCAGCAGTCCGATCCATCCTCCTTTATGACTGTCAGTGAGACATGGCCATTGAGAGTGGAAGACATGGAAAGATTAGCTGTCTTTGATCATAGGTGCCTGCGTTCTATCTCCCTTGTGAAGTGGTATAATAAGGTGAGCAATATTGCGGTTTATTTTCATTTATTTATTTTTTATTTTTGATTACAGCTTGATTCCACACAGTATTTTCAGTACAAGTATGGAATTTTCAGCATGGATATCGGTAGCCCAAATTTACAGGCCGACCATAGATATCGGGTGTGCGCCGGCAGGGGATCGAACCCCGGACCATGTGCATAGTCGGGGAGAGTCCTAACCACTGTGCCACCGTCGAGTGCTAGGTAAGGAGGTGAAATCAGTCGACGAGACTGTGAAATTGCATCGACTGAGATGGTTAGGACATGTGTTACGTATGCCTAGTCATCGCCTTCCTCGACAAGCAATGTTAGCTGACACAGGGTCAGGCTGGAACAGGGCTAGCGGCGGTCAAACGAAACATGGCACCAGTCAATGAAATCTACAACAGTTAGTCTAGGCCACGTAGGAAGGTGTAGACTTTCTTGTTGGAGTCCTCGTGACGGCGAAAACCAATGGTTGGAAACAATTGGTGACATGGCTCAAAATCGTTGTCAATGGCTGAGGCAAATGCATCCACTCCTTGTGACTTATGATTCCCAATGAAACTGTTTTGTTCTTCGTTATTACTATTCCTGTCTCACACCTCTGTTTACTGTCTCTAATACGCATTTCTCTTACTTTCTTCTCTTGCTTTGTGTGCTACAAGGAGGGAGTGTGGCGACTTGAACTTCTGCACATCGGTGCAAAGTTCTATGTCGAAAACAGACAGACAGACAAACATACAATCAATATCTGTTGGCCCAGTATGGTGAAAATGAAGTGTTACCTAAAAATAACTTGCATTGAGGCAAAACGTTTGTATGAGAATAAGGCATTAAGAAGACAAATTTCGCGAGATGATATCATTCCGTAGTTTCTTTACAACCGCTTTACAACTAACATGGTTAACAATAATAAGATAAAGTTCATGACAATTACTCAGTTAAATAAAAAACACAAAAGTACATACTAATGACCAATCATATTTAGATAGGTCATGTAGTCATGTATTAGAGCTAATATTGACACCTAGATGTCCGAAACTTGGTGGATTAAAACTGATTTCAAGCTCGTGATACAGAGTTTGGATGTAGATTACCCACACTAACTAGGCATAGTTTAAAATGATGAAAAAAGGTAGGCAAAAGTAGAATATAGCATATGACTAACTGGGCGACAGTTGGTCACAGGAACGCAATAGGTAATCGGTTGCCGTCGGGTCGTGACTCCTATCAAAACTCAAGCCGAATGACGATGAAATCTACTAGATACTCGATACATTTTTACGGCTTATCAGTTCTTCCACTTACCAGCCAGCAAATGAGTCTCTCGTCTTGAAACTATATCATTTAATTCACCGTGAGCTACTGATTAGTATCATGAACTGTCAAATAATAATATATGTGGTTTACATCACAGTAAATAAAAACTCAGTTTCAGATAATGAATAAAAAGCTACAGGCTCATACCTCTTAGAATACATAAACATACGCATCAAGGTGTACTAAACTGATTAGGTAACAACTTTCTTATCCTGTATATACTAAACTCAAGATTTGGTAACCGCATGTCACAAATTTCATCTCAGCTACGCTTCTTTTCTGTTATATTGATGAGGATGATAAACAGCAGGTATCCGAATGTAAACAAAGTAACATATAGTTACTTAGTGGGTTATGATGTTAAGATTTTGATGAAAACACTTAAATTCATCATAAAAGAAGCATTTTTCTTTCGTAGTGGAATTCGAAAGGTCTGTTTTTGTCTATTCTGTGTATTTATATATTTTGGAAGATCCATCGTGATCATTTAGATCTAGTAAACCGACGAAAACCACACGAAACCCTATCAAACTTTGAGTTGTATTGACTACAACAAGAAGTGAAGACTTATGAACACCACTGACAAATTTACAGTAGGCAGGGTATCTAATACAAGTGTTTCGACGAGAACAGCTTAGATCTTTTACAAGATACAAGGTGTTACAACAATCTCGACAAAGGTGGAACTTCTTCGAAATCAACAGTAAGGTAGGTAATTCCTCATGCATTATTTACCTTACTTTTATACTCTGAAATCCTTTACTGCGGAATGGATAAACTAGAGATGCTTATGCATTTCTTAAGGTAGAAAATCCGGAATTCTATTGCAACCGAACTACAGTAACGTGGTTACTGACTTCTTCATATCGGCTGACGTTATGTAAAATATTTGATAACCCGGTAGTTTTACTAGTTCTTATTCTTACGCTCTTTACCAGATCTTTGCCAAATGTTAAAGGTCTAAAATAAGCTCAAACAATGGTTATGACAACAAAAGATAAAACAAAAACGCGTAAAATGTATTCTCTAAAGTCGCTTTGTAAGATGGTATACTTGAAGTAAATGCCTTACTGAATCTTAACATAAACGGGATCCATAAGAAATTTGATTATGGGAAGCACATATTACACATATTAGTGACGACATTTTTGTTGTTTATAAGGTTTGTGAATTACTTTCAGTACTTTCAAATTTAGATATAACTACTGTTGATGAACTATTACTTTTTACATCAGATGAGTACTGAACCACGAAAGAAAAAAGGGGTTCGAGTAAAGATGTCTTTACAAAAGGTGCATACAACTTTGAAAATACGACACATTTGAGTGGTAGAATCAGGAATGACAGAAAGCACCAAAATGAGTACACCCATACCTGACTAAAACCAGTTAAATACGTAGTCAAGGGAGATTTCGGTTTTTTTTCGTAAGGATTCAATAAGGTAATAAATGAAGTCAACTTTCCTAAGCCAAATAAAACAATACTAATACATACATCGCATACAAATCTACACGAAGGCTAACAGTTACACATTTGGTCAACAAACGTCTTTTGAGATCAAACCGGTGTAAGAATTAGGAATATCTCTAGACAGCGACAAATGTTAAGTACTCTTAATCCAACAGAAAACACGGTACACTACATTTGGTGCATGATACTTACAAGCAGAGTGATGTACATATGATGCAGATGTCAACAAGTATGCATATTCAGATTAGTCTACTGAGAAAGCTACACCATTTTTGTTATCTGGCCCTATATTCTTTCTATACTGGCGGTTCTGTGAGGTTTTTTTTAAATGAGTAGCAAGATGGTTCCATCTTACTACAAAATCACTTACAGCATAGTGAGGGTCATCTTCCTTTAGTCCAACTAGTTGCAATTCACACATCTGTGTTTTGATTGTAGAGAGGTAGAAGTCGACAAGGACATCATTTTTCATTTTGACAAACAGTAACGTAAGACTTCAAAAGTAAGACAAGGACAATTTCAATATTCAACATATTACAGAAGAAATTTCATCGTTCTTCTTTCTTCCACTAGTTCACTTTTCAGGTCCTCGGTGAGTGTGCTCACTCCTGTATTATATCTATTTTAAAAACAGGGGAACTGCTCTATGTTGATTTCTCACATCGTTTTTACTAACTAGTACAAACCAATTTGATATTATGCACTTCTAGGTGTCGTCCGACGTATGTTTTGTGCAACCTAAGAAAGAGCTCAGGAGTGAGTGCACCTAACTGTCTATGCGTAAAGTGTATGACTGCATATGCCCTCGCTACGTCCTTCATTGTATCCACCTTTTCCGTCACAAGTAAAACTAAGTCGCGCTCTGACGTTGTGCAGGACAAGCTTTCATTGCACAGGGTGTAACTTGCATTCTGCAGTCTACGGGTGCGCAATTTCAATACTATGCACTCTTTCAGGTTGAAAGTCATGCCACTGGCCACCACCTAGTCTTCCAGAAGCTTTAGATCTTCCTGCAGCCTATCTGAGTCCTCCGGGCACATTATCGCCCTCCATATCTTCACGTCGTCAGCGTATAGAAGGGTCGGGCAGCTTAGACGGCATGGTAGATCATTGATAAAAATCAAAAACATTAGTGGTCCTAAAATAGAACCCTGCGACACTCCTGATGACGAGCTGTGCCAAGATGATCGGACTCGATTGACCTTAGTGCAAAATTGCCTTTCAGCTAGGTAATCCTTTAACTATGAAAGAAGTGGCTTACCTATACCTGCCTGGCTTATTTCGTGTAGGAGAAGGTCATGGTGAACAGTGTCAAATGCCTTCTCAAAGTCTAGGAAGACCACATGGACTGGAGCATTCAAATCCCAGCATGATGTCCAATCGTCCCAAGCTGATAGTAGGTTAGTTACACAGAACCATATCACTTATACTGATTTCGTTGTCGGCGATAGCGGGGGTTAGGTCGGTTTTAGCAAGGATGATCATTTCAAGATCTAGGTGTGACTGGAGGTCTCTGAATACATCTACTTTACCTCTCAACTCTCTCACATTGCTATACATGCAGCTGACAGTGAGTCTCACAACCTCAGAGTGTTGTGGGGTAGTTGACTTTACGTTGTCTGCTGGTAGGGGACTTAATATTGGGACTATTTGGCCGATTCAAATGGAACCGGCCCGTTGTGGTTTTTTCTTTGGGTTTGGGTAGGACACTTGGGTGACAGAGACTGTTATTCTCAGTACCGCATCGCTTTAGTGTCACTGAGGCTTGGGGACATATTAAGGCCTATGTTTCCTGCATCCTTATCTTTGGAGGTCTGCTTTTGTAGCATCGGATGTGTCCTCCCATTTTCCCCTTGGTTTGGTACCGCTGTTGAAGCATTATGGCCAACTGCTCCTGGGAGTTGAATTTGACACTTAGCAGCTTTGGAGAGCTAATCAGTGTGAGATGAGAGGGGCGAGGTAGTTGGGAAATGGAGATTGCTCCAGAAGCGCCAAGGGCCATCTGAGACGACAGCCATCTCCACTGCTGTACGTCATGCATGTGTTCTTCACAAGCAGCGCCCGTTTCCAACTCCGGAACACCGTGTACCACCACAGAGGTAGAAGGCATCAGTTCCGGTGACTCCCTCGCCATTTGTTTGTTAGCCCATGGTCTATCATGTCTCTTCCTTATGTTAGAACTTCTGTTGATAGCTAGTACCTGAACCAGTACTAGCATCCTTTTGGCCTCTTCGGCAGAGTCCATTGGTATAGTTCGCGGCAATTCGAAGGATTTGTTACTTTTTCGCGTGTTATTTCTTAGTTCTTTTTTACTCTATAGGCGGCTTTTCAATAGGTCTCTTGAGGATAGTACTAAATATTTAGTCCTATTTTTTCATTAAAGATAACTTTTCCGGCTGTAATTGTCCATTATAGCTAGTGTCTACTTAAGTGCTTCTGTTATCGCATCTTTGCATTTATAGTATTTGTTAAGCGTGTCTTCATACTATATTCCAGTATTTTTATCCACATAAACTGCTAATTGCGTACCGAACTAAACAATCTAAATCTCCAACACCCTAAAAAGGACCTTACAGACACTTTCCTCATTCTCTTATATTTAAGAAGTTTAACTCTTTTCTAAATGCCAATGGTTGAAACTAAGCGTCAAACTCCACTGTCTGCTTCAAATCCCAGTAAAAAACACAAACCGAATAGAATGAATAGGCCTGCAGGAAGTGTGAAGATTACATCCAGTGATTTAACAAATAAACACATGTCTGCTGCAGTAGATACGTTAATTCCGGACGTTGAATTCCCCTTACCTGCTTGCGTATTAACCAACATCATGGATGGTATACATAGTGATACTACATGCAATGATCCAGGCCTCGCAGACACCTGCAAAACGTCTTGCGAAATGAATTACACGGCAAACATTTTGACTCCTAGCATTAATCCAGTTTCTTGTTCTACACCTTGTTGTGAAGATAAAATCGCAGAATTATTTTCCATTATTAGGGGGCTTGGATTTAAGATATCAAAACTGGCAGTACCTAGTGAAACCGACAGTAATGGTACTTCACCTAGTAAGTTACCACAAACCGCAAACCTGATAAACTACGTTGCAACTGAAGTATATCAACGTGTAGTGCGCGAGAAGAACATAATCGTGTATAATATACCGGATAATGCACAGATTAACAAGGTCAAAAGCACTATTCTGAATGCGTGCTCTATGAATAACGTCTCGTGCAGCTGCCATAGACTTAGAAAGTCTCATAAAAATAAATCTTGCCCACTTGTGTTGAAATTTGACTCGTCCTCTAATGCTGACATCTTTTACAGTAGGCAAACACTACTGAAAAATACACGTTACCATACGATTAAATTAGCTTGTGACAAGACACCGATCCAAAGAATGACTTATTCTAAAACTGTAAATCCCAGGTCATCTACAACACCCCTGGGCACCCACACTTCTGTTGAGGCAGAGCAAAAGGGTGTGGATCTTTCTATACAAAGCACACCGTATTCGGAAACGAACTTGCCTGAAAATATAAGGTCAAAAAATAGTTCAGTGTATAGCCGAACACTAAGAAAGAAATCGACCGTAGATTTAGATTCCTCTGATAACAATCCCTGTACCCCAGTGACAAACTGCAGTACATCACACCCAGTATTCACCAATTCAAGTAGTCTTAATTCCAGGAAGTTGAAGAATGCAGCTACCAGTTCGTCTACAAAGACAACGCAGAATAAGAGACTAGTGTCACACACTAATTCACATGCTGACAGCTCGATACCACACCTCTCTCCAGAAACAAATATCCACAAAACCAATAGGTACAAAAACCGCAAAACAGAACCCGAACCTCGTAGCTACCTGTTCAAAAAAGTAAACCCTCGCACCAATACAAACCAAAACATTGATACACTTAACTATAGGAAGTCGAATAGTGGTGACGTAATTCGCAACAATTCGAATAAGTTGAGCTTGCTTGGTAGGCCACCTCCACCTATTTACATGCCTACACCCAACAGGGCTGACTACCCACCGATCAACAGTTTTGCTGAAACGACATTACCATTTTTTATACAGGTTCACAACATGACCTCAAACATACTACAAATGCTCACCACTCTCCACAGGTTCCGCCCCCCAATATAGATATGACAGCTGATACAGCAATGTCTAATTACTGCCTGGAGCTCACCTTACATGACTCTGGTAATTCCCTTCTTCTCCTTCAACAACCCTCTGTCTCCTTTTCTTCTGACAGCAAATCTTCTTTACGCCCAAACTTACATGAAAACGAAAATTTAATTCACCCCCTCGGCACTTCTAGCTTTCCTAGGGCATCTACAGACATAGACATTTCATTGTCGTCTGAGGACACTATGATTGAATCTCACCACCAGCTACTTCAAGACGTAGCTAAAATCCTAAGATATGACTCGGCTAATCCTAACATAGTTCTTATCAATGCCAGGTCAGCTGTAAACAAGATGGCATACATCCAATCCCTGCTACTGATTAGCCAACCTACAGCACTATTGATCACTGAAGCTTGGTGCACAAGTGAAATAAATGATGATTTCTTTCACTGTGAAGGCTACTCATTTTTCAGGAAGAACAGATCAGTTGGGCGGGGTGGAGGATGCATTATCTATGTTAAATCTGACTGCAGAGCTGTGCACTACGATGACCCTAACCTTAATATATGCGATACATTATGGGTGACACTCTACATAAATAAACAGCAAACTCTGTTATTAGGTTGCATCTATCGCCCACCCAACCATGACAGTGAACTGCTAAGTGAAATAACTGCAGCCTTTCATTACACTTCGAAATTAAACTTTACTTATAAAGTGATCGGAGGGGATTTTAACATGCCTGAAGTTTCATGGGAGCCCATCAGTACTCCTCCCCGCTACAGCAAATTCTTAGATGCTGTTGAGTTATGTGGGTGAACACAAAGTATTCTAAGGCCCACCCGAAACCACAATATACTGGACTTGGTTTTCTTGAAAGACATTGCCTTATCCACCATAGACATCAGCCACCCATTTCCTGGTAGTGACCACAACACAATAATCTGCGCCCTCGATACCAAGCTTCACTCATCAAAATGCTTTACCCTGCGCAAGACATTCATGTGCTTCGGAAAAGCTAGGTGGGATGTATTTCACTCCTTCATTAGAAGCTTAGACTGGGACCTTTTCTTTTCTAGTAGCAACCTAGACACTATCCTAATAGCCTCTTACCAGAATGTAACTATATGCTTTGATAAACTTGTTCCTAAATGTAAAGAGAGCCCAAGACAAAACGTAAAGAATTTCATTCCTATAAAAGTAAAGGCTAAGCTGCGAAAGCTGCACCGACATTACTACAAAGAAAATGACTTCTCGTGTCTTGTAAATATACAGAACATTTATCTCAGATTGAAAGAAAATAACGACAACGTTCTACTCAGACAAGAAAGTGCAGTCCTTAAAGATAGCTC